CGTGTCGGCACCGGGACATCGCAATATTCGATAGTCGTCGAGAAACTCAGCTGAATCAAGGTTGACATCAGTCCTAGTAGCAAGCAAGGTAACTACCTTTTTTTCCGCGTCCTTGGACGGATTCCACTGTGGTTAACTCGGCTCCTAACTCATCCGTTTTTTGGCGCAAACAACGATACTGTTCCCTGCAAACGGTAATTATACAAATGTAACTTGATTGAATAGCTTTGTTCATTAGTTGATGTATCAAGTCCAAGCGGACATTGGCTTCTGCGACGTTGAAAAGTGACTTCCTAGGAGCACGGTTGCATTGCCTGAAACATCTACGAAGATCAAAGGAACACTAAGGTGAGGAAAGAACATTATAGATAAGAGCATCTGACAATCTTGTCTCCGCAATCCACTAACTAACGCGCCGTTATAGGCTACGCGACTCGGTAGTTCGATGTCTGGATGAGCACGGAATGTCGTGCCATGGGAACTGCTCTAGCCGATGTAATCACGCTCATTACACTGCGTGCGCCGAAGCGAGCTGAGTTTGATGCGCGTGGGCACTTAGCATGGGGTTCCAGTTGATGCACATCGCCAATGTAGATATGGCGCAACGCCAAAAGACGGACAGCAATAGCAGCCAAGATGGGTCGGGATTTTGAGAGGCTTCGTCTCCAATCAACAGCCCAAAGGGCGAAATATGGCGCTTGAAGATGCCGCCAGCCGCGGGGTGTTCAGCACTGATAAAGTCGTAGCTAGGACGACATAGGGCCAGAGCACCCGGAACATTAAGTCTACCATCTTTTGGAGGTTTCACGATACGAAGTGCTCGGAGATGAAGTATTTCTCTTTGTGACCTTTCATTTCCAGAACTCGATCAGGGTCACGTAAGTACTGCTTGAGTACCTCGAGCCCCTCTCCCTCATGGCAAAGCTCCTTCTCTTCTGTTGTTAAGTGATCAGCAAAATTGGCCCTCAGATTTTTGAAGATGATGTTAAGATCCACTGGAATCGGATTGTTGTTTTCAGTGGCAGCTGAGTCCGAGAGACATCGTACTGGCCTAAGGTTGGTATGGTTGTCGAGGGTTAGCAAGGTTTCTGCAAACTGTGCTACTACGTTCAAACGCAGCTTGTATGCCAACAATGGGCAAGTTACCCGATCCCAGCGCAACAGCGGCCTGCCGATCTGACGAAAGAGCCACGCTACGACCGTTGAGAGGCCATGTTACGCTATTATCAGCCAGATTAAAAAAGGAGGGCTTATCAGCAGCTGAGCATCATACGGAGAGCAGCGTATGTGGTGTGAACCACCCGATTGGCGGCCGTCGGCGACATCAGTTCCTCGTATGTATTCATTTGAGAGATGCACTCATAAGCTGGATTAGAGGACGACAACGGCCTGCCGAGTCTTACACATATGTCCACAAAGGAGTTCCCTTCCAAGTGTCGGCCATATTGGCAAACGCTGCGCATTATCGTGTCATGTGACCAAGGAAATGCTGATACAGAAACATTGAGGATCTTTGAATGAGCGCGCGTCTTGACCGACAGTATTTTGTCATGGGATACTACTGCTGAACCCGTTACCCACAGAGCGATGGAACGCTTTGTAGTCCAGCCGGCTTCACTGGGCATATCTTCGAATAGGAAAGCGATGCGAATGGGATAAGCGTTCATATTAGGGATTTCAGCTGTAACCCAGTGAGATTGACGATCGTCAGAGAGAGAATTGACAGCGGCTGTACGGAACAGGAAACGTTGAACAGCTTGGACCTCTTGTGTTTCGCTGTTGTATTGTCATCGTGGAAACTGTCGATTCGACCTGCTCTGTCGTCCAGCCATGCCTGTTCCTGAGAGTTAATAGAAAATACTTTGACTGGAAGGAGCCCCTCGTCTGGGATCTGCAAAAATTGTCTTACGAGTCGCATAAGCTCATCTCGGGCTTCTATGGATACTGGCGGCTCGGAGAATCGTATGGCGCAGGAGACGTTGTGGCGTGATCCCGCTAGTAGCATCTGGTCTTCGTGCGCCGTCTGTATGTCAAACTTGCAGACTAATGGTGTAACTGTTACCGCTTCGGGCGTTCCTTCGAAAGCCGCATGGAAGGACTGAATTTTATTGTGTCAAATGTGAACAGAGAGTACCATTCCGTAGATGTGCTCATCCTTTTGATGTGGCGTCACGAAGGCAAAAGGGTCCGCTCGGAAGAAATACGCGGAAGTACTCTCCAGCGCTGTTGTCCGGGGAATGCGAGACTGATGAAGGGTATCACGGGGGTTTTTGAGTGCCTGAAGGGAGTGCTATCGTAAATCCACACAAAGTCCTTCATCGAAACCATGAATTTGCCGAAGCCGCAGCAGCCAGCTGATATGTTGAGGGCGAAATTGTCAAGGATGATGCAGTGAAAATCGCGTCGATCTGGTCCGATGACAAAGAAATTTAGCTTCAAGAATGACTCCGGTGCCCCATCCGGTAGAAACGACTTGATATAGAACTGGACGTTTCTTATGCC